TGGTGAAACCCCATCTTTAAAAAAAAAAAAAAAAAAAAAAAAAAATAGAATTAAGCAATTCATGAAGATAGTAGATTTGTAGTTACCAGAGGCCTGGAAGGTTAATTAATGGAGACAAGGATAAAGTTAGAAGAAATAAGTCCTGGTGTTCGGCCAGGCACGGTGGCTCACACACGTAACCCAAGCATTTTGGGAGGCCAAGCCGGGTACATCACCTGAGGTCAAGAGTTTGAGACCAGCCTGGCCAACGTGAAATCCCATCCTTATTAAAAATAACAAAAATGGCCGGGCACGGTGGCTCAAGCCTGTAATCCCAGCACTGTGGGAGGCCGAGGCGGGTGGATCACGAGGTCAAGAGATCGAGACCATCCTGGTCAACATGGTGAAACCCCGTCTCTACTAAAAATACAAAAAATTAGCTGGGCATGGTGGCGCGTGCCTGTAATCCCAGCTACTCAGGAGGCTGAGGCAGGAGAATTGCCTGAACCCGGGAGGCGGAGGTTGCGGTGAGCCGAGATCGCGCCATTGCACTCCAGCCTCCCGGGTTCAGGCAAATCTCCTTCCGTAAAACAAAATAAACAAAAAAAAAAAAAAAAAATTAGCTGGGTGTGGTGGTGACTGCCTGCAATCCCAGTGATTTGGGAGGCTGAGCCAGGAGAATCACTTGAACCCAGGAGGCAGAGGTTGCAGTGAGCCAAGATTGCCATTGCACTCCAGCCTGGGCAAAAAAAAAAAAAAAGACCTAGTATTCAACAGATCAATGGGGTAACTATTGTTTAATGTTAATCTATTATACATTTCAAAATAGCTAGAAAAGGCTGGGCGCAGTGGCTTATACCTATAATCCCAGCACTTTGGGAGGCAGAAACAGGCAGATCCCTTGAGGTCAGGAGTTCAAGAGTAGCCTGGCCAACACACGGCGAAACCTGGTCTCTACTAAAAGCATAAAATTAGCCGGGCGTGGTGGCATGCGCCTGTAGTAGTACCAGCTATTCAAGATGCTGAGGCATGAGAATCACTGGAACCCAGGAGGCAGAGGTTGTGCTGAGCCCAAATTGTGCCACTGCACTCCAGCCTGGGCGACACAGCAAGACTCTGTCTCAAAAAACAAAACAAACAAAAAAAACCTACAACCTAGCTGGAAGAGAATAATTTGAATGTTCCTAAGATAAATATTAAAGATAAATATTTAAGGTAATGGATACCTCAATTATCCTTATTCTATTTTTTTTTTTTTTTTTTTTTTTGAGACGGAGTTTCACTCTTGTTACCCAGGCTGGAGTACAATGGCGCGATCTCGGCTCACCGCAACCTCCACCTCTTGGGTTCAGGCAATTCTCCTGCCTCAACCTCCTGAGTAGCTGGGATTACAGGCACGCGCCACCATGCCCAGCTAATTTTTTGTATTTTTAGTAGAGACGGGGTTTCACCATGTTGACCAGGATGGTCTTGATCTCTTGACCTCGTGATCCACCTGCCTCGGCCTCCCAAAGTGCTGGGATTACAGGCTTGATCCACCGCGCCCGGCTTCTATTTTTTTTTAATTATTTATTTTTGAGATGGAGTCACACTCTGTTGCGCCCAGGCTGGAGTGCAGTGGTATGATCTCAGCTTACTGCAACCTCCACCTCCAGGGTTCAAGCGATTCTCCTGCCTCGGTCTCCCAAGCAGCTGGGATTATAGGCGCCCACCACCATGCCAGGCTAATTTTTTCTATTTTTAGTAGAGACGAGGTTTCACCATATTGACCAGGCTGGTCTCAAACTCTCAACGTCAGGTGATCTGTCCACCTTATCCTCCCAAAGTGCTGGGATTACAGACATGAGCCACTGTGCCCATCCTGTCTTCCTTCCTTATTTATTTATTTATCGAGATGGAGTTTCATTCTTGTCACCCAGGCTGGAGTGCAATGGCCATAATCTTGGCTCCTTGCAACCTCTACCTCCTGGGTTCAAGAAATTCTCCTGTCTCAGTCTCTTGAGTAGCTGGGACTGCAGGCAACCACCAACACACCCAGCTAATTTTTATAATTTTTTAGTAGAGACAGGGTTTCACCATATTGGCCAGGCTGGTCTCAAACTTTTGACCTCAGGTGATCCACCTGCCTTGGCCTCCCAAAGTGCTGAGATTACAAGCATGAGCCACTGCCCGGTCCTCCCTTATTTTATTTTGAGACAGGGTCTCACTCTGTCGCCCAACCAGAGCAGTGCAAACACAGCTCACTGCAGCCTCAACTTCCCAGGCTCAAGCCATCCTCCCATCTCAACCCCCCAAGTAGCTCGGACTACAGGAATGCACCACCACATCCAGCTAATTTTTATATCTTTTGTAGAGTTGGGGATCTCCCTATGTTGTCCAGGCTGAGGTCTCAAACTCCCGGGATCAAGTGATCCCCTCCCACCTTACAGACTAAGGAAGCTGGTTTTTGTAGAAAAATCCACATATTCACCAATAAAGCAGATCATGAACACACCTGGGGCCTCAGCTGGCTGCTCTACACCAGATCTGCTTAGTAGTTACACCTGCACGCAGGTCCCCAGGGCCAGGAACAGACGGCCGGAGCCCACAGTGCCTCACAACAGATACCTGCATGTCACTCTGAACAAAGCTCCCCAAACCCAACTCTGATGAGCTGAATGGTCAACATGGGGACCCAGGGCACATGGCCTGGGTTCTACTCCTGATTTAGCTGTCCTTAGCCATCAACATCCCCTACAGCCTCTGGTATCCTATCTCTACAATGAGGTTTTAGGTCCCAATGATGACGCCTATAACCTAGCACTTTGGAAGGCCTAAGTGGGAAGTCTGCTTGAGCCTAGGAGATCAAGATCAGACTGGGCAACATAGCAAGACCCCATCATTACAAAAGAAAAAAAAAGAATGAAAAAATTAGCTGAGCATTGTGGCATATACCTGTGGTCCCAGCTAATTAGGGGCTGAGATGGAAGACCACTTGAGCCTGGGACTTCAAGGCTGCAGCGAGCTATGATCATGTCACTGCACTACAGCCTGGTCAATGGTGTGAAATTCCATCTCTCAAAAAAAAAAACCAAAAACCAAAAAACAAACAGGACTTGGGCTGACACCTGGACTCCACCTCAGCCTACCCCTAGTTGTGTGACTCTAGGCTATACTTCTCTCACCCATCAAGACCTCACTTGCACACTGCTGCAGCAGAGGAGAAAACACCTCTTGAATTAGCACTAGGCCCAGAACACTGGGCCATCAAGGGCCGCTCCCACCCTGCCCCCATCCTGGGCTGCTCCCTGCACAAAGGAAGGGATGAGAAGTGGGGTGCTGTGAATCACTCAAGCCACTGCATCTGCAGCAGCCAGGAAAACACATGCAGCACTCCCACAGGCCAAGCTCTCCCCGAGGACAACCTCTGAGGAAAGAAGAAGGGCTCTACCGTAAGAGCCCAACCTCAGAGCTTCACATAGGGCAAGGCCACATAAGGCAAACAAGGTGGTGCTGTTAGGGCTTGAACCCACGTGCCCAACTGTGGCCTTCAGGTCTATGGCTCCTCCATTCCTGTTCTTCACAGGTCTTGGGGAAAGCCGAGTTCTGAGTTCTTTGGTTGAAATTATCCCAGCTTATGCTCAGGGAAAGTACAGGCCCCAGGCAGAAGAGCAGAACAATCACTGTCTTGATGGTTAACCTGACCATGACCTTCCTAAGGAAACAAACATGCATTTCCACTTTGTAAACTAGCATGCAGGCCCTTCCGGGGCAAATTCTCTCATGGCTCTCAGCCCCGTATTCCTCCTCCTACAGAAAGTGGTGCCACAGAAAGAACACTGGACTCAGGAATGTGACATGTGGCTTGGCCACATCCCTGCTATTTTTTTTTTTTTTTTTCCTTTTTTAGAGACAGGGTCTTGCTCTGCCACTCAGGCTGGAGTGTAGTGGTACAATCTTGATTCACTGCAACGACTGCCTTCCAGGCTCAACTGATTCTCCCATCTCAGCCTCCCGAGTAGCTGGGACCATAGGTGCATACCACCATGCCAGGCTAATTTTTGTACTTTTTGTCAAGATGGGGTTTCACCATGTTGTCCAAGCTGGTCTCAAACTCCTAGGATCCAGCGATCTGCCGGCCTTGGCCTCCCAAAGTGCTGAAATTACAGCTGTGAGCCATCATGCCTGGTTGATCCTGGCTATTTAATGACCCCCTCTGAGCCGCAGTTCCCTTGACTTATAAATGGAGACTCAACCCAGTCTCTTCCCTGGTTGCTGTAAGCAGGCAATGACATGCAGAACAACCCAACCCAAGCCTAGCCCTGAACATATGAAGAGACAATGCTATTCTGGAACTTGAATTCCAAAGACGGGAATATCTGGTGACAGCCCCGCAACACTTTGAACACATGATACTCCTGCTTTTCTCACAGAGCATATTAAAAGACTGGTGTTCAGTGGAACCCATGTGGGGAATACTGTGCTAGAATAATCTGACTTGCCCTTCGTGTTGGCCAAGGAGGGCACCACTTGGATCTAACCTTCAAGAGAACTTGCCAGCCAGGTGCAATGGCTCACGCCTATAATCCCAGCACTTTGAGAGGTCGAGGCAGTCAAATTGCAAGGTCAGGAGTTCGAGATCAGCCTGGCCAACATAGTGAAGCCCCGTCTCTACTAAAAATACAAAAAAAATTATCTGGGCATGGTGGTGGGTGCCTGTAATCCCAGCTACATGGGAGGCTGAGGCAGGAGAATCACTTAAACCCAGGAGGTGGAGGCTGCAGTGAGCCGAGATCGCGCCACTGCACTTTAGCCTGGGCAACAGAGTGAGAATCCATCTCAAAAAAAAAAAAAGAAACCAGGGCCAGGCACAGTGGCTCATGCCTGTAATCCCAGCACTTTGGGAGGCCGGGCAGGGTAGCAGGGGGAAGATCACGAGGTCAGGAGTTCAAGACCAGCCTGGCCAAGACAGTAAAACTCTGTCTCTACTAAAAATACAAAAATTAGCTGGGTGTGGTGATGGGAGCTTATAATCCCAGCTCCCTGGGAGGCTGAGGCAGGAGAATCACTTGAACCCAGGAGACGGAGGTTGCAGTAAGCCAAGATCGTGCCACTGTACCACTCTAGCCTGGGCAACAGAGTGAGACTCTGTCTCAAAAAAAAAAAAGAACCTGCCTCTGCTGGAGGAGTAAAGAGAGCTGGCACAGTCTCCGGCCACAGCACCTTCCCATCACTGCAGCATTTGAGCTGAGGCCTGGCCACTTCTGCCCAACACGAGACTCCTTTCAATGGACAATCTTTGCTCTGGAACTCCGAGAGGGTGGGTCTGCCAGAGCAGCCTCACAGTCCTAGGCTCCTGCTGGTTATTTCTGCAACCTTCCACCTTACAGGTGACAGCTCTGCATTGTGAGCAGAAGGCTCTCCCTACTTTATCTTTCACAGGTGTCATTCCATTAATCCTCCTTCACCCCTACCACCCTCTCCGGGTCTGCTGACTACAGGGAGAGGATCCCTAGCCAGTTCTGTGTGCCCTGGGGAGGCCAGAGGAGGAGGAGCTACTTATGGGACAGCCACCCAGGCAGGGGTGTGGAAGGGACTGGACACAGGCAGGGGTTGTGGGAGTGTGAACAGGGGTTTATTCAAACCAGCCTGGGCCTGCTGGCCCCACAGAGCTCACCTTCAACTCCGACTTCTTCTCTAAGGCCTTGGCAATGACCCTGGCTGCTTCCACACCCACCGTGTTGCCTTCCAGACGCAGAGCCTCTAAGTTGTCAAAGTCTTCAATCTCTTTAATCACATCTTTAGCTGCCAGGGACCGAAGAGCAGAACCTTAGGCTTTTGGAATCACAAACAGCTAAAGCAAGAGAGAGCCTGGCAACCACCTTGCCACTTGACAGTTAACAGTGCCACCTACCATGCAACGAGCCCTGGCTTACAAAGGAGAATCAGGCCGGGCACCATGGCTCACACCTGTAATCCCAGCACTTTGGGAGGCCGAGGCGGGTGGAACACAAGGTCAGGAGTACGAGACCAGCCTGGCCAACATGGTGAAACCCCGTCTCCATTAAAAACACAAAAATTAGGTGGGCATGGTGTGGTACACCTGTAATCCCAGCTATCCAGGAGGCTGAAGCAGGAGAATCACTTCAACCCAGGAGCCGGAGGTTACAGTGAGCCAAGATCACGCTACTGCACTCCAGCCTGGGCGACAGAGCGAAACTAACAAACAAACAAAACAAAACAAAGGAAAATCAGACAGGCTCATGGTCTAGTGTACAGAGCTATCCAGATCATTCCTCTATAATGAGTGTTAAAACCAGGCATGCAGAGAGGCTTGGGAGCCGAGGCAAAAGAGCCACTGAGTGCTCACAGCAAAGAAGACTTTGCCAAGTGGGTGGTGTGTGTGGAGCCTCTGAAGATGGGGAGTGTACCAGGCCAGGCAGAGAAATGGCACCCAAGACAGAGGGCCAGCAAGCACGATGGTACAAAGGCCTTCACCGTTAAGTGCTTCATGTGGTGGGTATTTGTCCACTACTGTGCTATTTTATTATGATAAAACATTCCAAACCACCTAAATGTCCATCAGGAGAAGACGTGGTAATCCCAGTACTTTGGGAGGCTGAGGCAGGTAGACTGCTTGAGCCCAGGTACATTATACAATTAGTTACACCAGCACTGCTATGAAAGATGACACAGGTGTTTTTGACTTGAAAAAAAATATATGTTATAGTAGTGATAAGTGAAATATTAGGTTACTCAAGTGTTTGGTCTGATCACTCTTTAAAAATGTATGTATTCACACACAAACACACATACACACATGCAAAAAACGAGGTTCAGAAACACAGAAACCAAATGTTGTAAGTTCTCTCTAGCTGGTAGGATTATGGGTGATTGTGTGTTTTTCTACTACCTGTAGTAAAAAGTTCTCAATATATCCGGTTATACAGCAGCTTTTAAAGGATCTATACTATAATCCCAATTAAAAAAAAAAAAATGAACTCACCTATGTTCAGGGGAAAAAAAAGACTATGCACTAGAAATAAAATGTCCTGAAATAAACAGTAGTTATATCCCTGGGGCTATATGAAAGTGAGGATGGGGCCGCTCGCGGTGGCTCACGCCTGTAATCCCAGTACCTTGGGAGGCTGGGGCAGGTGGATCACTAGGTCAAGAGATCGAGATCATCCTGGTCAACATGGTGAAACCCCATCTCTACTAAAAATACAAAAATTAGCTGGGTATGGTGGCGCATGCCTGTAGTCCCAGCTACTTGGGAGGCTGAGGCAGGAGAATTGCTTGAACCCAGGAGGCGAAGGTTGCGGTGAGCCGAGACCGCGCCATGGCACTCCAGCCTGGGCAACAAGAGCGAAACTCCATCTCCAAAAAAAAAAAAAAAAAAGAAAGTGAGGATGTATTTTTTTCCTGTTCCTTGACTATTTCTGTATTCTATAATAAACCTGCATTAATTGTATAATCTGAACAAAACCAAAACTTACATGAAATAAAAAGTTGGGTCTGGCTGATACAGGATGGAGTAGGATGCCACGTGGGAGGGAACAGACAAGAGATGTGTATGGGAGATAAAGTTTGAACTTGATGTTCTGGTCAAAAGGGTCTTAAGAAAGGACTTACAACCTATTAGGTGCTTCCTAAGTAGTTGTGCAAGGTGGGTCCAAGTTTCCCTGATTGGGCCAGAATCCCAGGATGCCTCACTCATGCTGATGCAGGTACTTTCACTTCCAGATGCCAGGGAATTCAGGGTTGGTCAGTCCCAGCCACATCTTGCCAAGGGATGAAAAGACTTCTGGGCGCTTTCTTTTTTTTTGAGATGGACTCTCACTCTGTCACCCAGGCTGCAGTGCAGTGGCATGATCTCAGCTCACTGCAACCTCCGCCTCCTGGGTTCAAGCAAGTCTCCTGCCTCAGTCTCCCAAGTAGCTGGGATTTCAGGCACACACCCCCAGGTAAGTAAGGTTTTTATAGGGCTCACTTTAAGAGCAGGCCTGACGCGATTTAGTAGAGATGGGGTTTCACCATGTTGGCCAGGCTGGTCTCCAAGTGCTGAGCTCAGGTGATCCGCCCACCTCAGCCTGCCAAAGTGCTGGGATTATAGGCATGAGCCATCGCGTCAGGCCTGCTCTTAAAGTGAGCCCTCTCCCTGCCTTACTTACCAGAGCCTTTTGTTGACTTGTTTTCATAGAGTATATTAACATTTTGCCTTTAATTAGTTACCTGGGTACATCATTCCTGTTCCAGATTTGCTGCTTCTTAGGGATTGGGTCAGCTGGGCACCCCTGGTAACTTACAAAATGGGAGAAACCATATCTAGCCTGTACTGGGAGATGAAAGAAGTTACCTGCACGGATTTCACAGCCGGCCAAAGTTGAGTTCTTTTTTTTTTGAGACAGAGTCTCATTCTGTCACCCAGGCTAGACAGAGTACAGTAGCACGATCTCAGCTCACTGCAACCTCTACCTCCCAGGTTCAAGCGATTCTTCTGCCTCAGCCTCCCAAGAGTAGCTGGGATTACAGGTGTCTACCACCACATCCAGCTAATTTTTGTATTTTTAGTAGAGATGAGGTTTCTCCATGTTGGCCAGGCTGGTCTGGAACTCCAGGTGATCTGCCCGCCTCGGCCCTCCAAAGTGCTGGGATTACAGGTGTGAGCCACCACACCCGGCCCAAACTTGAGTTCTAATCCCCTCCTGGTCAGGTGTGGTGGCTCACACCTGTAATCCCAGCACTTTCAGAGGTCCAGCGGGTAGATCACGAGGTCAGGAGTTCAAGACCAGACTGGTCAAGATGGTGAAACCTCATCTCTACTAAAAATACAAAAAAATTCAAGACCAGCCTGGCCAAGATAACGAAACCCTGTCTCTACTAAAAATACAAAAATTGGCCAGGTGCGGTTGCTCATGCCTGTAATCCTAGCACTTTGGGAGGCCGAGGCAGACAGATCATGAGGTCAAGAGATCAAGACCATCTTGAAACCCCCGTCTCTACTAAAAATACAAAAGTTAGCTGGGCATGGTGGCACACACCTGTAGTCCCAGTTACTCGGGAGGCTGAGGCAGGCAGATCACACAGTCAAGAGATCAAGACCATCCTGACCAACATGTGAAATCCCATCTCTACTAAAAATACAAAAAAAATTCAAGACCAGCCTGGCCAAGATAATGAAACCCTGTTTCTACTAAAAATACAAAAATTGGCAAGGTACAGTGGCTCATGCCTGTAATCCCAGCATTTTGGGAGGCGGAGGCAGGTGGATCATGAGGTCAAGAGATCAAGACCATCCTGAAACCCCATCTCTACTAAAAAAACAAAAGTTAGCTGGGTGGTGGCACACACCTGTAGTCCCAGTTACTCGGGAGGCTGAGGCAGGAGGATCACTTGAACCCGGGAGGCAGTGGTTAAAAAAAAAAAAAGAAAATTAAAGCTGTGCCTTTAGGCATGTCATACCACCTCCCTGAACTGCAAAATGGAAATCCAATTTATCTCACAGGATTTTGTGAAGATAAACTGAGATACTATTTACCTGGCACTTAATACCCTTGTCTGACATGGTGTTCAATAAGTGGCATTTAGTATCAAATCAATGTTTCCTAAACTGAGCTCAATGCTCTAATTGAAGCACAGGAATAGGAATTTCACTGGACCTCTGTGAAAAATCCTAGCTCGGCCGGGCACGGTGGCTCAAGCCTGTAATCCCAGCACTTTGGGAGGCCGAGGCGGGTGGATCACGAGGTCAAGACATCGAGACCATCCTGGTCAACATGGTGAAACCCCGTCTCTACTAAAAATACAAAAAATTAGCTGGGCATGGTGGCACGTGCCTGTAATCCCAGCTACTCAGAAGGCTGAGGCAGGAGAATTGCCTGAACCCAGGAGGCGGAGGCTGCGGTGAGCCAAGATCGCGCCATTGCACTCCAGCCTGGGTAACAAGAGCGAAACTCCGTCTCAAAAAAAAGAGGGGCCGGGCGCGGTGGCTCACGCCTGTAATCCCAGCACTTTGGGAGGCCGAGGCGGGTGGATCACAAGGTCAAGAGATCGAGGCCATCCTGGTCAACATGGTGAAACCCC